GTGCTTTCAGCCAGCAAATTCTTCATTACATCGGCATTGGCAGTAGTAACGTCGCTGCTCGCACCATCAAATGCTGCAATGTAACGCATCAGGTTGGTCCTCGGAATTTTGTGTGCCGTCGCAGATTGTCGAACGCTTTTGTGATGTATTTTCACCGACTTGATCGCCTCCAAAATGTTGCCGAAATCAACAATTTTCTCTTGTTTGGGATAGCACCGCGGCATAATGTCTAAAAAAAATTTTTCGGAGCACGAAACTATCAGGAAATGTTGAAAAACTATTGTGTTGTKGMAATTCTGCACGAAAAATCACTTATACACGTCAAATATATGAAGTTAGCATGTCAAATTTAAAAAACTATGTGGCCCGACATTCCCCGTAATAAGTGCCCCGAGATTCCCCAAACGCTCATATTTGCAAAATGGCGGTGGATAATGAACACAATGTAAATTCGTGAAAAATTTCTTTTGTGTGTCGAAGTCTATAGGCTCAACTAATATTATAAACATTTTACCTCGATGAATTTATTGGAAAATGTGAAAAAAATCAACTGTACACAGAGTTGAAAAAAAACTTTCGGAGTGTCGAATTTCTTTTTGTTGTCGCAGAGAGGTTATAACACGTGTTCACAGCTCGAGTGCTATATAGAAAMTGAGCTTAGTATGAGACGAACCGATGACAGTTGGTTGTAGCTGTCAACCTATCGTGGGGAAAAAAATTTCGCGCTGGCCCGGGATTCCCCATGTGCCCAACATTCCCCACCTTCCCCTACTAAAATCATATTTAAGTTTCAAAAATTAAAAAACAAAAAACAAAAACGTAGAGACTACTAAAAGTGAACTACTTGTCCCATTTTATTACTTCACATGAATTTTGTTTGGTTAATGATGTATTTATGGTAATAGTTAGAAATGAATAAAACAGTCTTGTTTAGCGTGCATTCTGAAATATCCAATATATCTAGAAAACGGGTTGTATTACTTAAAGATAAAGCGAAAAACGGTTGTCCCATATAATTATCTCTCGCACTATACTTTAGAAGCAATGTGAATATTTGTATGATACGGTTATTATTCGACTAAGTATTAATTTAAAATTCAATCGGAAAACCATTTTAAAATTTATATAAATATGTATATGAAAGTATATTAATATATTAAAAATATTATAATATTAAAACCAGGTCAAAGAACAATCTTTATTTTGGTATTTTGATTAAGATAAATTTGTTATATGAAAAAGTATAATGTATAATATAATACGCAGTAGAACATGTACCTGTATCAGATATTGGGGAACTCGGATCTATTGAATTTGTACTACTTGAGTTTGTAGACACAGAGACTGTTCCATTGGAAAGATCCATTGAGGTCGTATAAGAATTATCTTTTGAAAATTGTAGATTGTTGTTAAATACAGAGAAACCGCCTGCCTGTGATACATTTGAAGAAAGCTGTAAGGCCTTTGAAATGTGATTGTGATGTAATCGCCGATTTGTTGGAAGATTCGATAAAGCTGAAATACCAGATTAAATTCAACATACTCTAAAGGGTTGTGCATAAAAAATATCAATTTACAAGGAGGTGGTAGTAGGCCAGGACCATAGCAAGAAGGAGATAATAGAACTGGTGGTCTGAAATATAATGTATAGCAAAAATGTAATTGAACGATGAAATTGCTTAAATTGAAAATATTGTATTGAATGTATGCTCATTTATATAGGTAAACATCTTACCCAAACACTCCAACGGCCACGGCAGCTTCCCGCAAAGCTCGCCCGTGTTCCATCTCCCGCAGCGTCTCAGGACGTATAGTGGCTGTGTTTCGCGGCTGGCGCTCATTTTGCACTGCTGTAATTGGAAAATAAATGAATTCAAAATGTGTTAACCACACACAGCACTTATAATGACGTGTCATCGCAGTTCCAAGTGAATACACCCTGTAATCTAAATGCACGGCATGATAGCAAATATTAAGCCTTAAAGGTGAGAAAATATACTCGTTACATACGCTATCTACTCTGTAATTTCAATATGCCCTGCTAGACATGCTGATTTTGAACGAGTTTGCATGAGGAGATGTGTAATTGTTTTAAGGTCACGTGCCACCGCCACTGGCCATTTAAATGTTTAAATAGGTTTAAGCATAGGAATGACATCTACTTTAGTTCTTTGTTATTTATATTATTTATGTACATATGTATATACATATATCCGCACATTCCTTGAGTTTTTAGACTAATGATAATTGACATTACAATGACATACTTATACTACATATGTTTAGCTTTGTAAAGCAGACTTCAGTAGTTTGAGAGGATTTAATGGGAAAATTTTTAAATTTTGTTTATATTTATGTATAAAATTAAAATGAAATTTTAGAGAAACGTATAGTATTTTTAACACCAAACGACATAACCAAAGTTAAGAATACATGTTTACTTCATGCTGACCGATATACTAGAGGGAATTTGGACGGGATGTATAGGTTTTATCCATTTTGGTCAATACCATATATTATTACTGTAGAAAGATGCTTTGAGGTGGTATATCTTAAAGGAATATTTTTTAAATTTGACAAAAAAATTATTAATTTAAAATTATATTTTCGGTAAACAGGCCTAGTTGTACTTGTAGTTAGATTTCGTCGTAGAATATTACGCACCTAATATGACGAATTTGGTCAGTGGTTACTGAATGAGGAATAGGAATTTCACCAAAGGTAGGCAGTAGCATTCATTTCCATTTTTTATACATGCTCCTATGACGGTTTTCTGTATCATATAAAATTTGATATTTAATGCTACTGACGTATTGATTTAGTGAGTGTGTATGGCATTTTATAGTTTTTCGGAGGCAAGGTGTACGTTCACCGGATTAATTCAAATTTTCATTTTTTAATTTGACTGATACTTTTTATTATTCGATGTTTAATCCATATTTACTGTAGTTACTGAACGAAATTTCTTTTCAAACTCGTTTAGGCGCTTGACCATGTGGAAATCCAATTCTTAACTTCTTCTTTTTGTCAGACAAGAGTTTTTCTTCCCATCTATGGACCTTATTCCATTCATTCTTTAACTCAAAAGCAAATATTTTTGTAGAGTATTTTTTTATACTCTCGCAACGAAGTTGCTAAAGAGATTATTATAGTTTTGTTCACATAACGGTTGTTTGTAAGTCCTAAAACTAAAAGAGTCAGATATAGGGTTATATATACCAAAGKGATCAGGGTGACGAGTAGAGTTGAAATCCGGATGTCCGTCTGTCCGTGCAAGCTGTAACTTGAGTAAAAATTGAGATATCATGATGAAACTTGGTACACGTATTTCTTGGCTCCATAAGAAGGTTAAGTTCGAAGATGGGCAAAATCGGCCCACTGACACGCCCACAAAATGGCGGAACCGAAAACCTATAAAGTGTCATAACTAAGCCATAAATAAAGATATTAAAATGAAATTTGGCACAAAGGATCGCATTAGGGAGGGCATATTTGGGAGTAATTTTTTGGAAAAGTGGGGCAGGGCGCCCCCTACTAACGTTTTTGTACATATCTCGAAAACTACTATAGCTATGTCAACCAAACTCTCAGGAAGTACTCAACCGATTTCAATGAAATTCGGTACATAATATTTTCTTAACACCCTGGTGACATGTACCAAATATGGGTGAAATCGGTTCACAACCACGCCTGAAATCTCGATTATCACTTTATCATGCGAGAGTATAAAATGTTCGGTGACACCCGAACTTAAACCTTCCTTACTTGTTTTATTTTAATTTGTCCTTAGAATAACCAGGACGTTTTAGCTCTTTTTTAAGTGAATGATTTTTTTCCTTCAACAGAAATTAATCGAAATATTGTACAAGCTGGGGTGAGTAAAAAAGATGACGTTTGAGCATGATCCTACAAAATTTAAACATATTATATTATTAAGAATATTAAAACAAAACAGGAAATATAAAATAGCAGCAACACAAACAAATTCAAAGAAACAATAGTAACAAAAATAATGAAGATAACAACAATGAAAAGAATAAAATATGATAAGCCGCACATGGCGCAGTCCTGAAGCATATTTGATGAATAAACTGCTTACGGAAGATTGTTGCAATTTTTCTAAAATAATTTTTCACGCTTATAAATGATGCCTTAAGGTTATCTTAACTAAATCCGACTACTAACCTTAGGTCCACTTAAACTAACAAAATCAATATCTTTTCGCCCTTCATATGCATACACAAAAAATACCTTCACAATTAATTTACAAATTTTATCAAAATACAATAAAATATCCACCTGAGCTTGATGGATTCATAGTTGACCCTCATGTACGAAAGGTTGATACAATTGTTGATGTAAATACCTTAAAAGAGATGATGGTGGCCGCCGGCGTAAGTCCATGCATCAGTGGAAAGAGAAATGCTTCGCAATTAGTTTCGATGGTTAGTTATAATCCTCAAGTAGCATCAACATTTAAAAAAAATATCGAATGTGATACTAAAGTACCTATTGCATAACCCCAGAAGCAACTGGCAGATGCGAAATTTTAGTTAAGTAACAAGGTTTACGATTGGAAATTGCTGGAATATTCGGTAGCACATATACATATGTACCTACATATGTACGTGGTTCGCACGCGAATAGCAGAAATTCGAAAAATACGACTTAGAATTTGTTTGATAAAATGTATTCAAATTGCCTCTAAATTGTCGAATCTTCTTATTTGTAAACCGGTTTCCGCTGAAAATCTAACGGTACTTTATAAAAATAGATTTAAAAGCATAAACACATGTAATTTTCAAAGCGCATCTGAGCTTTGGTCTGCTAATTGTTCTGGTTAAAAAATGAAAATCGTTTTTGATGAATTCTGAAGTTGAAGGTATTTATTTTCTCTTATGAAATTAATTAAGGTTAACCTGATTTATGTTTTTCTGTGAAACTGGTGTTTTATATTACATTTATTTGTACATTTTTTGTGCGTCTTCAATTTGTTTAAATAAAGATTTAAATGTGTTCCCGTTGATTCCTTCTAAGGTATGTTTGATCATCAGAGCCTTAAAGTAATGAAAATGTTCAAGTTAGGTGTGGTAATTTGCGGCTGTGTTTGTCATTGTAAAAATACTAATGGCTTCTTATTATACTTTCTCAACAAAGTTGCTAAAAAGAGTATTATAGTTTTGTTCACATAACGGTTGTTTGTAAGTCCTAAATCTAAAAGAGTCAGATATAGGGTTATATATACCAAAGTGATCAGGGTGACGAGTAGAGTTGAAATCCGGATGTCCGTCTGTCCGTGCAAGCTGTAACTTGAGTAAAAATTGAGATATCATGATGAAACTTGGTACACGTATTTCTTGGCTCCATAAGAAGGTTAAGTTCGAAGATGGGCAAAATCGGCCCACTGCCACGTCCACAAAATGGTGGAAACCGAAAACCTATAAAGTGTCATAACTAAGCCATAAAAAAGATATTAAAATGAAATTTGGCACAAAGGATCTCATTAGGGAGGGGCATATTTGGATGTAATTTTTTTGGAAAAGTGTCCGTGGCCCCGGCCCCTACTAACTTTTTTGTACATATCTCGAAACTACTATAGCTGTGTCAACCAAACTGTACAGAGTCGTTTCTTTTAGGCATTTCCATATACAGTTCAAAAATGGAAGAAATCGGATAATAACCTCGCCCACCTCCCATACAAAGGTTATGTTGAAAATCACTAAAAGTGCGTTAACCGACTAATATAAAACGTCAGAAACACTAAATTTTACGGAAGAAATGTCAGAAGGAAGCTGCATCCAGGTTTTTTTTTTCTTAATTGAAAATGGGCGTGGCGTCGTCCACTTATGGACCAAAAACCATATCTCAGGAAGTACTCAACCGATTTCAATGAAATTCGGTATATAACATTTTCTTAACACCCTGATTACATGTACCAAATATGGGTGAAATCGGTTCACAACGCCTAAATCTCGATTATCACATTATCCTGCGAGAGTATAAAATGTTCGGTGACACCCGAACTTAGCTCTTCCTTACTTGTTTGTTTTTGTAATTGTTTAAAATTTTCAATTTGTTTTTATTAATATTATTTATTACAATTCTCATTATGTTTTGGATTTGTTTATATTCATAATGGTTGTACGCATCACCTATAACTAAATAGATGTAGAGTTATATCAATATATACGTATGTATATACAGTTAGTTAAACACCCCTAAAACCCCTAAAAACAGCCCTTTTCTTTTTCCCATACAAACGAATGAATGCTTGTTGGTTAGTTGCGCTAAGAGAACGGCTGTACCAATCTTGATGAAATTTTCAGCAGTTGTTCTCTGTGGATCGGGACGGTTTGGAAATAAGAAAAAACCGTATGCTTTTCGTGAGGAAAAGTCGAAAAATTGGACAATTCCAAAAAGTAACTTTTTTCAGAAAAATTTTATTTTAAATTTTTGTTTGTTTTGTTTTTCAATATTTTGAATTGTAAATTATTTCAATCGTTCAATTTCGGTCGCTTGCTTTTCTATGCCGGCTATTCAAAAGAAAAATTTTTGAATATTATTCAGTGAAAACTTTATGTGTTTTGCAGATTAAAATTAGTTACAAAACCACGAAGAGGTCGCCGTAATATCGGTCGGCGCTCTTTTTGCCACTAACGTATGGCAGCCCAAGGCGAGGCAAGAAATACTCTCAGGATTCGATTACATACGTGCGGAACTATGGATCCCAGTCAATCAGCAAACGATCGTCACGATGCCACAGCACGACTTGTCAAACAACAGTTACGATGTTTGATGAACTTTATCTTGAAGCAACGGATATGTTGTGCTGTTAGATGCTAGATGTACTCTGTTGAGTGGCAAAAGAGAGGTTTGTCGCACGCACAAAATTTTTCTTTGGATGGTGGATGGTGGTTACACCAGATCAAATTGATGAAATCATTTCTGCGGAAATTCCTGATCCTGAGAAATATCCAGTATTATACGAAGTGGTGACAACCAATATTGTCCATGGACCTTGCGGACACCACAATCACACTACGATGCTTTTCGAGTGCCACTGAAGTTCGCACACTTCTCGATGATCAGCCTTCAAATCAGCGTCAATTATGGGATACGATCAAAAATTATATTAGAAATGGGTCAATACTGGTTGATACTTCCTGTAGTTTGATATCAATTCCATTCGCCATTTATCAATTCACGAAAGCTTATACAAACATTGGCCAAATTATGGTAAGTGCGATTCTTTGAGTGCATTCCAATCTTAGCTGCCACAAATACCGATGTTGTTGACTTAAACTGGAAGATTCAAAGTCGAATTCCGGGAGACTTGCGGTGATACAAATCGATCGATCGTCTTGATAATGAAGACGCAATCGTGAATTATCCAGTGGAATTTCTAAATTCTCGGTATGCCACCGCATCATTTGCGTCTCAAAGTTTGATCTGTCATTATGATGTTTCGCAATCTGATTGTGACGCACTTATTAAATATAAGGGGCAGAATGCTTTATTCTACGGATTTCTTTTGAGTTCTAACGATTTGCTATTTCAGTTCAAACGTATTTCGGTTCCAGTGAAAATTGAATGCTATGTTTTCCACACAGCCAGATATACGTGGCGTGCTCACGAGTTGGAAAACCATATTCTCTGTACATTTACGCACCGGAATAGAAACCAAAAAATGTTGTTTATCAAACTGCGTTACATTGAATAAAAGTAGAAAAATCGCAAATAAGTTTCAACACAATATAAATTCAACTTTCTTTTCATTTCAAAACACATAATTTCACGCAGGAAAACGACTGCAGGGTCAGCTAGTATGTATGTATATATAAATGACCAGGATGACGAGGAAAGTTGAAATCCGGTTGACTGTCAGTCTGTCCGTACGTGCAAGCTGTAACTTGAGTAAAAATCGAGATGTGTCGATGAAACCCGGTATGAGGGTTCCTTAGTATCACTGCCACGCCCAAATATCGCTATTAACCAAAAACATACATATAAGTGCCTTAACAAAACACTAAATTAAGATATAAAGCTGTAATTAGGTACAAAGGATCGCAGTAGCAGAAGGCATCTGTGAACACAAAGTGAGCGTGGCCCGCTGGTTTAATGTATATATCTCCTAAACTACTTAAGCTACAACAACTTAATTTGCTGGGCACAAATCTTAAAAGAACTTTTACCGACAGTGCAGAAATGGATAAAATTGGAGGATAAAGCCCCTCACTCCCAATATAACGGTACTGTTAAAATCTACTAGAAGCGCGATAAATCAATAATGGAGTCATGTGTAGAAGTTCAAGCAAGTGAGGAAAGTTCTCTGATCGCCATTCACTTGGGAGTGGCCAGAAACGATTCTTTTACATATGACTCTAGCAGCTCACGACTTCCAAGGGTAAAGGGTGACGGGTGTAATTGAAGATAAGCTCACAGAAGGGGGATAAGAGACCATCGTACAATGGTGATGTGGCTAGACTTTTTTTTCGAATCCTAAATTTGTTTCTGGAATTACTGAACTTAAAATCTGGTTCAATGTTGAGCTAATAGACTTTATTCTATTGTCTTGGGGTATACAATTAATTTGGAGAAATTTAATGAATATGTCTTCGATGCTGTTAGGGAGTTGATCCAAGAGTTGCAGAGACAAACTATAAGGAATTAAAATATTGTAAACTCAATCATAGCCGAAAAATTTCACGCATTACAACAAAGACCGACATATTCACTTTTATATAATAATTTATACTTTGTATTTTTCCTTCATAATTTTTTCCCATGATATTATTCCTATAGAATGAAGATTCGGGTTGGATCAAATTTAGTCGCTTTCCCTATTGCTTAAATACTTTTTCAAACTGTTTTTTTAAAGTTTGGGTGCTCTGATACCATGAGAAGTATTTTTATGTATCATCGTTATATAAGTTCAATTACTGTGCTATGTGAGCTATAGGATGTATTTGTCCGGTGTGGCAAGTTCTTTTTAATACATTTTTCAAATATTGTTTTTGGTAAAAATTAAAACTTTATAAAAAATTCTTCAAATATTAGAAAGATGATGAAATGGTTCCCTCAAAATTCTTGGCTTAATTAATGTTATCAAAATATTTATTAAATATTATAAAAAGTAGCAGATAAACTCCCCATCCAGAATATATCTGTAAAAGTTACATGACAAATGTCTAACCCATTTATTGTCACATGCTTCGCAAATCTTTAAATTTTTACATTAATCATATTTTTCCTCTCCCAAAAATATAACAAAACGAGTTAGCGTCACATCTAGAACTTCTCAGATACATTTTGTTGTTGCAAGCGACAATACATTACTTCAAAACCAACAAGTAAGGAAGGGCTAAGTTCGGGTGTCACCGAAAATTTTATACTCTCGCATGATAAAGTGATAATCGAGATTTCAGGCGTTGTGAACCGATTTCACCCATATTTGGTACATGTCATCAGGGTGTTAAGAAAATATTATGTAGATATGGTTTTGGTCCATAAGTGGGCGATGCCACGCCCATTTTAAATTTTTGAAAAGAGCCTGGGGCTTCCTTCTGACATTTCTTCCGTAAAATTTAGTGTTTCTGACGTTTTTTGTTAGTCTGTTAACGCACTTTTAGTGATTTCCAACATAACCTTTGTATGGGAGGTGGGCGTGGTTATCATCCGATTTCTTCCATTTTTGAACTGTATATGGAAATGCCTAGAGGCAACGACTCTACACAGTTTGGTTGACATAGCTATAGTAGTTTTCGAGATATGTACAAAGAAGTTAGTAGGGGGCGGGGCCACGCCCATTTTTCCAAAAAAATTACGTACAAATATGCTCCTCCCTAATGCGATCCTTTGTGCCAAATTTCACTTTAATATCTTTATTTATGACTTAATTATGACACTTTATAAGTTTTCGGTTTCCGCCATTTTGTGGGCGTGGCAGTGGGCATTTTGCCCATCTTCGAACTTAACCTTCTTATGGAGCCAAGAAATACGTGTACCAAGTTTCATCATGATATCTCAATTTTTACTCAAGTTACAGCTTGCACGGACGGACGGACAGACAGACATCCGGATTTCAACTCTACTCGTCACCCTGATCACTTTGGTATATATAACCCTATATCTGACTCTTTTAGTTTTAGGACTTACAAACAACCGTTATGTGAACAAAACTATAATACTCTCTTAGCAACTTTGTTGCGAGAGTATAAAAATGCTCAAATCGGTGTTAATGTTTAAAAACAAATACAAGTATATACATAATCAGATAGCACTGCTTGAAACAAATTAAATAAGGAAATAAAAAAAGGAAAAGTAAAAGTAATATATAGTAGCAAAAGTAAATAAGGGAAAATGGCAGAAAATGTCATAAAAGAAACTGAATAGATTACATAAATTTAATCACATAAAATTTTTGGTGGGAACTGGAATATCTTCGTTTGCAGTAACTGTGAAAGCTTAACATATCTTCGATGTTGTCTCTTTTCTTTATACAAAGCTCTTATAAATCAATTTACTTTCGTTACTAAATTTTACAATCATTAACTTACTATTTATTTGCCAAATATATCTATATAGTAAATGAGTTTATCTACTAAATGTATCTAATATAATATATTATTAAGCGAATATTTCATACTGACCATCTTTATTCATCCCCATTTGAAGGCACTTCTTAAGGCGGCAAGCTTGACACTGATTTCTATGTGCTTTGTCCACAATACATCGACCCGTTCCGGCTTGACACCTGAAATATTAATTAATGAATTAAAAATTGAAGAAGTCATTAAAATAAACATTTTACAGATAACTATATACATCTTCTGACTAATTGTAAAAATTAAGCGGATAGGCTAATTTTAAAGTGAAGCTTTTGATGAAACATAACTTCACCTGTGATCCTAAAGGTGAGATTTATTGAATTACGGTCTCAGTAATAATCATATTTGGTATTAACCATGAACTAGAAAAACAAAACAAAATATATATATATTTTTTCTCAGCATGTCGTTATATACATACTATCTACTATGAGCAAAAAATGGCTTCAATTGATTCAATACGGTTTCTCCAAAGCAGTCGTTTGAGTTTGGTGAATAGCCAGAACTCAGACGTTATGTAGTTGCGGCATGGTTGAAAATTTGACGAAAAAAAAATCAAGGCAAAACGCGACGATGCATTATCGTATTCGGCTCACCTTCGCCACGATAGTGGATAGATTGATCATCTGTTTCCAGGCGGTAAATCATCGCCAGTAATAAAACGTTTCATGACATCTTGGCAAAGCATTGTTTCAAAGACGTAAACGCAACGAAGTTTTTGGAAAAAATTTAGTGATGTTGATCCTGATCCTGCTCCTGCTCCTAATCCACGCGTTCTCCACCCTCTTTGAATAATTTGTACTAATCAACAAGTAAGGAAGAGCTAAGTTCGGGTGTATACTCTCGCATCAAATACCGTATTTGTGTAAAGTTTTATTCCGCTATCATCATTGATTCCTAATGTATATATTATACAGAGAAGGCATTAGATGGAATTCAAAATAGCATTATATTAGAAGAAGGCGTGGTTGTGAACCGATTTCAACCATATTTCGTATATGTCATCAGGGTGTTAAGAAAATATTATATACCGAATTTCATTGAAATCGGTCGAGTACTTCCTGAGATATGGTTTTTGGTCCATAAGTGGGCGACGCCACGCCCATTTTMMATTTTTAAARAAAGCCTGGRTGCAGCTTCTTTCTGAYATTTCTTCCGTAAAATTTAGTGTTTCTGACGTTTTTTGTTAGTCGGTTAACGCACTTTTAGTGATTTTCAACATAACCTTTGTATGGGAGGTGGGCGTGGTTATCATCCGATTTCTTCCATTTTTGAACTGTATGTGGACTGTCTCTTATACACATCTAGATGTGTATAAGAGACAGGCGTAGCAGTGGGCATTTTGCCCATCTTCGAACTTAACCTTCTTATGGAGCCAAGAAATACGTGTACCAAGTTTCATCACTATATCTCAATTTTTACTCAAGTTACAGCTTGCACAGACGGACGGACAGACAGACATCCGGATTTCAACTCTACTCGTCACCCTGATCACTTTGGTATATATAACCCTATATCTGACTCTTTTAGTTTTAGGACTTACAAACAACCGTTATGTGAACAAAACTATAATACTCTCTTTAGCAACTTTGTTGCGAGAGTATAAAAATACTTTCTTGCGACAAACAATTATCATCGAAAGCCTTTTACAATGTTTTGAACATTTCGGCACCAGAAAAGTGATTCCGTACACAAAATCTAATGGAACTTCTTTGTTGAATAATTTCACTCAATTTAAAAATCGCCGAATGATCTTTATGTACTTCAGAAAGACAACGTATGCTAAACAACAATAACTATTTTGATGTAACAGTTTTCACAGATGCCTTAGACAGTCATACCAACCAAGAAAAGATATTTCGACGAATGGGATTTCGCACGAAATTTAAATTAAAAATTCTTAGTATGTTTTGCTCACAGTAGTATGTAAGTAAGAATACTTTGATATGTACGTATGTATTCATAAACACATTTATGTATATTTATATCAAAAATATCTTCATGTGTATAATATAAGTTACATATGTATGTGTTATGAAATTAGAGCAAGTTTCCTCGAATTCAGAGATTTCTATTGCCGATTAATTAAGAGCTCAATCGGGAATGCGATTTACATAAATATTAACACTGTTAGTCAAGTAACTGCTTCGAAATTCGCTGTGAGAAATTTTTATGCGGCTACCATATTTATTAATTTGATGATAGCAGAAAATTTATATTAAGAAAAATCAAATAATAAATGCTAATGGATTTTGTAGGTTTTCCTCTAGTTCCATTTGCTACGTTTTCCGCAAAAATTTTGCATTTTCGACCAATATATTCGCAAAGGTTTTTATTTTGTCTGGCGATTTTAATATAGATTTCATCTGCTCCACTTTAGAAAAGTATATTAAATATCGAAATGACAAATCACTAAAATATACTAACCACAATATATGATATTACGATCGATGTAGTCAGCACAACATCAAAAATTTTAATGTAAGCCAACGTTTACTTATTATTGTTACCATTTATTAACTGTGGAACTCAAGGGGAAAATGAAGTCAGACAAACAAGTAAAGGAAGCGTCAAGTTCGGGTAAAACCAAACATTTCATACTCTTACAACGTGCAACCCAGGAAAACAGTTTAAGAAGCAAAACGTTACGGGGAATCGGATTCCAATCATTTTACATATACATACATACACATCTCATAACTCATTCACTGGCCGACACATTCGACTTAAAGGTTGTTCGAATTGTGAAAATTATTATATGTAGGTATATAGTATAATATGGTAGTTAATATATCTAAAAAAAGATACTATTTGACTATCATTAATGTAACACGATAGATAAATGTAAAATCCTGATAAATGTAAATCCTGATATTACTTGTATCCACGTCAAAAGATAAAGAGTTCGCAATATAATATTCCACATATCGGCTTGAATTTTTGTAGTACGGCCTTAAGAATTTTTGTTATCAAGCGGCACATCTTAAAGGCAAAAATTGTACAAAATTTAATTCCGGTACATTCATTGGTGCTTGATTTATTTGTATATTAAAAAAAATCCATCCGAATTCACTAAAACTAGTTTTATATGTTGAATGACTTAGGAGAAGTGGCTTACCCAAAAACAAATTTGAGGGTGGATTTTCTATCCAAATTTTGCATAATGTTGAAAAAGGGTGAGACAGATTACTATAGTGCTGTCAATGCATATTTTTTTTATTGTTTAATATAGTTATTCATTAAATTATATAATATTTACTTTCCAGGTGAAAAAAATGTTTCGCAAATACAAAAAGTGCTTATAAATCGGTAGCTTATTTTCTGGGCTGCGAAGCCATGATATTTAAAATTTCCTAGCCGAAACATCAATATCTCCATAACTATGTTGAAAAGAGTAAGGCCGTTTAATCTGTATTGATTTCTCACTGGGAGCAGCTTATTCCGTTAGAGTTGTAGCGATCTGCAGATATCGATGCATAGTTGAGTACAACTTTTGTACCAAATATTTAGGATTAGAATGAATGGTTTTAGCTCCTTCCCATCTAGTATCCTTAAGCTTAATTTTAAATTCAGGAGGTTAGCAATAACATTAATTTAATTTTTAATTAATTTAAGAATGCTTTATAAGGAACTTAATTACTTTCCTCAAATCAAGAATATTGCAAAACAAACACTGCTAAACAAAAATCCACTGGATTTTTTGTGACATGAACAAAACAAAGTAATTATTATGTAAAAATTGCCACAAATGCCTTGGTGGAACCGGATCCTTTGTTCGTCACTTACGGCCCTTAAATTTTCGGAGAAAAAATCTAGATGGGAGTCCAGAAAGTGAATTTTAAGGGACAACCCATTTTTTTATAGGCAGTAAGTAGTTCAGTCACGAGATCTTTGTAATTGTTAGCTTTCACACTTAAAACAAAATTTTTAACAACGCTTTTAAAGGCACTCCAGGATCGTATTTAAGTTTCATTGAGGATTTCCTCAGATGTTCTCTTATTTGCGGACCCACAAATATGCCCTCCTTAATTTTTGTAATACCTTTTTGGGGTCAACTAGAGGTTTACTGGTAACGTTTATTTTCCTTGCAGAGAGTGCCTGACGTACTGGCTACTGCTTCTGTACATAATGACAGTCTCTCGCACAGTTGTCCCATTCGCAAAGGAAGCAACAATATTTCGTATATCCTAGTTGCGTTCCAGAAAGAAGGGCTATTTCTTTACTTAAAATTAAATCGCAGTACTTGACGGTATGTTTAGATTTCGGTCCAATTCCTATAATATTCGGGAATCAAAAATAGCAGTATCTAACATGGTCTTTAAGTTCTCTACAAACCATTGGCACTGCAAAGGGTATTTTACGTTTCGAACTTTTTAACAAAGCTGTTAACACTGTTACACAAGTTTTACAACAGATACGAGGGACCCATGCTTTGCCTTGGTCCCCAACATTAACACCAAAATACAGTTCGCAAGCCTTAGCACAAGCGGAGTAAAATTACGTTTTTGCGATTTAAAAGTTAGTTATTCGCACACTTAACAAAAGCTTTTGGCACTATTTACGCACTGCCCACGCATTGGATCTAAAAATCTTAAACACAGTAATTTCAAAAACGTAAAAGAATGTGAACTCAAAAACATTTTGCTATCCAAACATTGACCACGTAAGCAATTCGGACACCGTAAGTCTACTTACAAATTTTGTAAAATAAAATGATCGTAAAATACGCTGTTTACTTCAAGCAAGCAGGCAGAACCGGTCTTAACCGGATAAATGCCTGGTCGTATGAAAATATGAAATGCTGCAATATATATAATGCAATTTTATGTATTGTAAAATCTAAAGCGCAGGTTACAGAATATCTGTGGGTGATAGAAAAATTTTGTTTTCAGATTTGACTTCAGGGTATCAAACTGCATTAGAAACAGCTAAGAATTTTCATGTCACAAATTATGTGTCTACCAGTGTAATCAATACGCACTTTTTTCCTCCAGAACAAATTCTTTCATAAGTTATGTTAATCTTAAATTTTGCATTTGTACCTTCTGTTCAAAACTCTCTGTTGACTTCGAAAAGGTCAAATGCAATGCATACAAGCAAAGTATAATGTTTTGTAATACATCTGGAATATTTGTTTACATTTCAT